CCCCTGGCCTGAGAAGTGGCTGCGACCGTCGAGATAGAGACCGCCTGAGCAAGTCCGATAAACGCTGTCAGAATCTGAGTTAGGGCCTCCTGAAGGCCTGGAATCACAATAGGCAACTGAGCTGGTGCATCAACAACTGGAACCTGGTCCTCATCTGGGACAACTGGTGGATCTGCAGGCACTGCCCCAGCTATTGTACGGGCTACACCTCTGCCCCTACCACGGCCTCTACCGCGGCCTCGGCCTCTCGCAGCCCTGGCTGGTGGCACTGGTGGCCGGCCCTCCTGACCGGTAGCACGAGTCCTCACCATCTGTGAGAGAATGAAACAACAGATGTTTAGTTACTAGAATCAACAGATTCGCACGACAAGAAGTCAAGAGTGTGGAGTTTCCTAAAGGTTTTGCAGTCTCTCAAAGATAAGTACAGACGTCTCCGTACCGATCCGCAAGACTCTACTAAACCCGCTCATGACTCGTGAGACCTATGTAACCTAGGTTCTGATACCAATCTGTCATGACCCAAACTAACCCTGTTGTGATGGTGCCTATCGTGGAACTAGACAAGCCGACTCATTTCCAAAACAAAATGATATTTTCATTTCAAAGATGATTTTAAGGCTATTTAGCCTAAAAAACCTTCGTAAAGGAAATCAAATCAAAACAAAAATGCGGAAAAAAGAAAAGCTCGACATCGGGGTGTCACTAGTCATGAACATCTACTATCATTTGTCTGACAATATCAAGGCTAACTCAGTCTGAAAAATAGCTAAATACAACTAAAGAAAGATAAGAGGAAGAAGGGCATGGGCTGCGATCGCCAAACAGCTACCTTGCAATCTTCGAGAAAATCTACAACCAGAACAATCAACCACCGCTACCGTGTCCAGCTACACCTGGATCTGCACACAAGGTGCAGGGAGTAACGTGAGTACGCCAACTCAGTAAGTAACAACAATAAATAAATACTGAGCATTAGTGACGAGCAATAAAGCATATCAAGTTCATATTATAAAAATTCAGTAAAGTACACCATGCTTTAAAAATCAGTGTTTGAATCAAATCATCTCGTTTAAACTCGGTTCCAGTAAAAATCATTTAAAGATATTTTTCAACAGTTTTTTTCAAACAAAGGCTCAATGCAAAGGTGAGCAAAAATGATGAAATCATAAACAGCCCCTCGGGCAAACCTCATAGTCACTCGTGCCACTCGGGCATACCTCACAATCACTCATGCCTACCAGTCACTCAGTACTCGGCATTCGCACTCAGTAGGTACCTGCGCTCACTGGGGGTGTGTACACACTCCGGAGGGGCTCCTTAAGCCCAAGCTCTGTATCAATCCAAATAATGGCATAAATCAATCAGGCCCTCGCCCTATATCAAACATGCTACGGTGTGCATCCCGATCCCATAATTATCCGAACATGCTGCGGCATGCAATCCGATCCCATATTTATCTGAACATGTTGCGGCGTGCAGCCCGATCCCATATTTATCCTCACAAATCAGGCCATCGGCCTCACTCAGTTATAAACCTCTCAAGCCACTCGACCTCTTAGTAAAACATGGTATTCAGCCCAAAATAACATTTATATGCATCAAAACAGAGTAATGAAAATAGAGTTATGCAGTAAATACTAAACAAGTATAACCATGACTGAGTATAGATTTTCAATCGAAAACAGTGAGAGGATAGTAAGAAAAGGCCCCTAGGGTCCAAACAACACTAGCACAAGGCCCAAATATGACATTCAACCCAATTTACAGAAAACTCTTTCTAAAAACACATAAGTATCATATAGTTTCAACAAAATATGCAACTTTACAGTTGCTATGGGACGGACCAAGTCACAATCCCCAATGGTGCACGCCCACACGCCCGTCACCTAGCATGTGTGTCACCTCAATATAGTAAAATGATACGAAATCTGGGATTTCATACCCTCAAGACTAGATTTACAATCGTTACTTACCTCAAACCGGTCAAATCTCTACCCCGCAATGCTCTTGCCTCTGGACTCGGTCTCCAAATGCTCCGAATCTATTAAAAATCAGTATAATACCATCAATACGCACTAATGGAATGAATTCCACAAGAAAAGCTACAAAATTAGACCAAAACCCGAAATTGGCTCAAACCCGGCCCCCAGGCCCACGTCTCGAAATCCGACAAAATTTACAAAACTAGAAAGCCCATTCACTCACGAGTCTATCCATTCCAAATTTATTAAAATCCGACATCGTTTGGTCCTTCAAATCCTTAAATTACTTTTCCAAAAATTCCAAGCCCTAACCCCTCATTTCCACTAATTACAATGATTAAACAACGAAAAATCACCATATATACAAGTATTAGGGCTCAAGTAACTTACCTCAATGAAACCCCCTTGATTCCCTCTTCAAATCTCTCCCCAAAGCTCCAAAAACGAATAGAAAAATGGTGGAAATGAACCCAAATTTGCGAAGTGCTATCTATACATTTTGCCCAGATTTTCACACCCCGCGGCCTATTCCACGCGCCTGCGGGACCACACATGCGGTCAAAAATCCTTGCACCTGCGAGAATCACTTAAAATCTCAGCCTCCGTACCTGCGCCCAGGTCTTGCACCTGCGGGCTCGCAGGTGCGGCCAAATCCTTCGCACACGGTCCTGAACCAACTAACCCGATATAACATATTATAGCTGAATAACACAAAAATAGTAGTAGAAATGTGAAAAATGGGGCTATAACTCTCGAAACGACCGGCCGGGTCGTTACACTTCGGGAAGGGTCGGACTGCAATGGTCGCATCCACTTGGTCCCTTTGATACGCCCTATGGCCGACACGATGCTGGCGGCGTCCACGTTGAAGTTGTATTCCGACAATCTCGGTGCTTCCCTATTCCCGAGCGGCCTATCGAACCCACTTTTGCTCATCAAGCCTCGGCCATCAGACCCCCGATCGCTTCTCTTTTCGTTCCTTGCGGGATGACGCCGGATCCATTTCCTCTTCGGTCCGCATTGTATGGATGATACCGATCTCGAGTCGGTCCTGGCTCTTGATCAATGGCTCTCGTAGATCTGTCCTCGGACTTGATAGGGTAAACAGATCCGGAAGGGACCTCGAGCTGATCGTCCTCGACCCTAATCTTCGATTGATACCTTTTATGGATGTCAACCTAGGTTATCGCCGGGTACTCCACCAAATTTTATTTCAACTGTTGAGAGGCCAAGGAACTTCGGGGGTTGAGCCCCTGAGTGAATGCTTGAACAGACCAATCATCCGCGACCGGTGACAAATCCATCTGTTCCATCTGGAATCTTGACACGAAATCTCTGAGCATTTCGTTATCCCTTTGTTTGACCTTGAAGAGGTCTGACTTCCTGGTCTCGACCTTAATGGCCCCGACATGTGTTATGTAGATTTGTATCAAATCACCACTATTATCCTTAGCCCCACGATGGGCGCTAAAGTGTTTATTCCTAAATCGGATAACAATTAGATTTATACACAGTTTTAAGGATACGTGGGTTGATTCAACACAAATAATCAAAAATATTAGATAAAAGTGTTAAAGATAAAATAAATGACCAAACTAGTTGTAATGTTATGGCCTAGCCCAAACCTAGGTTGAACAGTGATTTTGCCCTCGATTGGACCCTTGGTTCGAGCCCAGTTGTGAATGGAGAACGTAACAATTAAATAAGAACTTTTGCAGTAGCTAGAAGGCAAAAATGAATTTGTATTGATTTGATTCGCCTGTTACAATGTGTCTTACAAAAGAAAACTTCCCATTTATATAGTAAGAGAGTTTCATCCCTAGTACAAGCCTAAAAAAAGGTAAATATCTTTCTTCCTCGTTAATTACTGATTCGTAACCGACATTGAGCGAGATCCGCGCCGTGATATCCGGTTGGGTGCGAATATCACGGCCCTCTATCCGTCGTGTGTAATCGTTTATCGTGTTTCCTGAGGTCTTAGAAATCGTCCTAGGTCCGGGGCGCGCCGCTTTATCAAGCCCGATGATGAGCACATCATTTACCTTTCATGGATCTCGATACGAAGGGCTCCCAACCTCAATTTCAATCTCGTGTGTCTATGCCCTCATTCAGTTTTCTTCATCGAAAAATCGGGGTACGCATTCTCCCCAATTTTACCCGTATACAAGTGTGTACGTACACCTTACCCGTATCATGAGGAGATAGAGAATGTTTACTAGAGACCTTCGACTCGAGAAGATGAATAGAAAATAATCAAATATCAATAACAATAGCCATGAAAATGATAACAATAATGTAAGAACTAGAAAAATTAGATGAAAGAAATCAATAGACTTTGTTGATAGCATAATAAACTTTATTACTAGTACACTGCAGAAATAGTGAAACATTTTTCTTTTTTGCGGTAGTACTGCCTTTTAACGAAATCCTTCTTGTACTCATTAAAAGAATTTATCCTAATCACAGTTGGAAAGTTTTATTGTACTTTGCATCTAATGCAAGATTATAAGATCAATTAGCCATCTATTGACTTCTCAAGTAGCATCCCAATGCGAATTAAACATTTAGTCTCGCTGCTAACATTTTATTATAACAAAAAAAATCTCCATTTCAGTTTTGAAAATTCGTTTGATTTTCTATCCTTCTATAATTAAGTACAGACTTGATGTGCTAGTCACCCTTCAAACTCGTGTTATAGGTCTTTCTATAACTAAATATCAAATTTAATTAAGTATTAATTAATATTCTGGCTGGTCTGTTGTACGTCCTTCTACAATTAAGTACAAACTTGATTTACTAATTAATGTTCAAACTTGTATTGTGCGTCCTTTTAAAATTAAGTACATACTTCATGTACTAGTTAGGATTCAAGCTCGTGTTGTACGCCTCACTCGTGTTGCTCACATTGGCATAATAGAGATGGCGAAGTGAGTTACTTAGCTTAAATGTAAAAGTGAAATAACAGAAATTCATGATTCAAAATTCAAATTATTTATTATTTACTCCATTATNCTCTTCTCTCCATCAAACCCTAGCATTTCTTTTGCTCTTTTTTTTTTTTCAATATCAAAATTATGATTTTCTATACATGAATTTTGTGGGTTTTGCAGAATCAAGAATAACCTTCAAAGGTTTGTTCTTTTCTTTGATTCTATCATTATATTATCCTTAATTTTTCGTTTGATTTATAGGAAAGGTTCCCTTTTTTTTTTTCCTGCTTGAAATACAATTATTTGAATGGGGTTAGAAAAATCTTGAATTTTCAGATTTTCATGTTTCTTTTCTAATCGGGTTTTCCCTTATGTTGGTTATTGATATTTGCTAAATTTCCCTCTTTTTTTTTTTTACTTATATATAGTGATTTGTTGTCTGCAGTAGTATCTTGTTTATAAAAGGTTTAATCTTTATGGTTATTGTGTGATTAGGGTTTTGCTGCTAAATTAATACCGAGGATCATTGTCTTGTATGTACAGTTGGTTTCAAGTGCTTTCTATCAACAGTTTTATTGGATACATTTAAGCCCACACCAACTTATTCGAGACTGAGGTGTCCTCACGGTTCTTGTGACTGTCTTTCCTCCAACTTTACTTCTGATATTGTAACTTGATTCTGCACCTTACATGATATCTGTGCTAATTTTTGGTTAGTTAAATTTGTCCACTGATGTGATATGTCTACTTTTGGCTGTTTGTGCAGATTATGGATCATGTGAACAGCGATAGTCAATTCGATGTTCCTGACACCCCTAATAGATTAGCTGCTAAGGATCTGAATGTGAGGAATCGTGTCAGCACGGAGAGTGGTTTATCGACATCTGGTCATTCAGGATATGGAAATATTACTGGTGAACATAATGAGAATCAAGTTTATGTTAACGGTGTAGGAAAAAGAAGGCTGTTTATGCGTCCTCCAAAAAGTATCAATAGTTCCATGAAATCTGAATTCCATGCAAATTCATCAGCTTCTGGTTTGGGGAATTCTATCCCTTCAAGAAATGGTGTTCAATTTACTAAGGTTTCCTCCATTCCTAATTCCAATGAGAAATATAACTTGCACCTTTCCAAAAGTGAAAACCCAGAGTCAAAAAGTCAAAAGTCTTCTCAGCGAAACTACCCTGCCATAGACCTAACAAAGAAAAGTGGGTCGATGCATGTGTTTGTTAAAGCTCCTACAGTTGAAGCACACGATGGTGGTCAAGTTGAAAAATGGAGAACACGATCCGGATCGGCAGCGATGAATGAACACTCTCATTTGCACAAGATGACTTCGTTCGTACCATCTAGCAATGCCAATAAAGGAAAGGAAATCGATGGTTCAAGTTCTAAATCTCATGGAGAAAAGGATTCTACCAGTGATGCGCAGCTTGGAGCTCGAAAAGATGGTTCTGCATCTTTTGCTAACTCACCCAGAGTAATTGGGCAGAAAAGATTGGTACGAAACGGATGTATATCCCCTCATAACATAGCTAAGGCCAAAAAGCCAGCTGTGGAGGAGGACAAAGGTGTTTTAACTCATGGGCTAACTGGTAACAGTCTTACGGAATCATCTGCAGGTACAAGCTTAGGTATTGCCAAAGAATTGATATCTAAAAATGGTATCTCTAGTACATTAAAGGGTAAGGAGGTGATAATGCACTCTTCTCCTTCAAAAGAACATGAAACAACACATCCATTTAGCAGGTGCGTATTTGGTGAAGATTGTCTAGATATTCATGGAAGAGACAATTTTAGTTCTTTTCTGAGAGCAGTTTATTTCAAATTTACTAGGCCGACCAAATTGGAAAAGAAAAAGGGAAATTTTGTTTACATCTTCTATGATATAGATCCCTGCTGAGCGATCTATGCTTTGATGATTTATGTGGAACACAGTTTAGCTTGTTTTCATGTGTGTATAGATGGATGAGTTCAACCAGCTGTAACAAATGATGAATCTATATTAAGATATGCATTTCGACATATTTGTGTTGTGCGGAAACTTATCCAGAAAAAAATATCTGTGTTGTGTGTATCCCTGTTTTGGCTTTAATGAGATGTCTGTAAATGCTTGCTGCATCTTGTTGTATGAGATGCTACTACTACTTCGTTCATAAGTATTGTTATGTGATGTTATTCTAGTCATTTTATTCCTGCGAATTGTGATTTTACTTTATTATTCATAATCATATCTAAGTTTGTGCCAACCATTTTGTACCTTTGTTCTCTTCTTATCCATGTCATAAATGTTTGCAATATAGTTAGGTGATTTTAGTTGCTTCACATTCTTCATGCTTTACAAGTTACAGGTTCTTATATATATTCTAGAATTGTAATGTTTATAGTAGCTTAAATTTCTGGGTTCCTTTTCTTTTGAATGTTACCTCAACGATTAACTCTTGTCCTGATAAAGGTCTCATCAGGTTTTTTTTTTTTTTTTTTTTTTTTTTCTTTT